GTGACTACAGAGATATTTAATAAAGTTCATTATGCTCTTGCTCCAAGTGTTACCGTTCGCGCACCAGTTGCTAAGTGGATGAGCTTCCCAGAAGCGGGTCATCTTATAGCAAGTGCATATGAGAGGGTGTGTATCGACTTGACGAGGTATGGGTTTTCAGAAACATTTTTTCCTCTTCGGACTCTCCCGCCTAAAGATCCATCTGGCCACATAATGTGTATTGGGTACCTTAGATCACGCCATTTTGTTCAGGTTTATTTGAAATCAGGTTGTCTTATACCGGCTACATCCGTGGAATGGACGACACATCATGAAAAAGAGGCGGAAACTTGGTCGGACCAGTTTTTGGATAAGATGATAGAGTTTACCAATTTGATGGAGCTTGAGAGAGAATCAAATGGGGGAGAAGTCGAAGAAAGAACCAGTTTTAGATTTAAGCGGTGACAATTCGTTCGGTGCATTTTAGAATGTAATCAAACTATTTTTTGAATGTATTGTCGTACTTATTATAAAATCTATACGTTTCAATACATATATAATATATTATATATATTTTGTTTTACAATTGTTTATTTTTTCATGTCACTTTGGTACAAATAATGATTGAGTTCTTGTTCTGCATAATTCGAAAGTGCACTTTCGAATTGACCTTAAATTAAAATTTAAAAAAACACAGGGCATATTTCGAATATGAACATCCGAATTCACCTCTTATTTTTATTAAAAAATGTGGTGTTTTCAGATGTGCATTTCCGAAAATGCCTAATTTTGATTTTTTTTAAAATGTGAATTCGGATGCTGATATCCGAATTATGTCCTGATAAGATTTCTTTGGTCTATATTGCTCCAAAAAGGCTATAAATTGGGTCTTCTATACAATTTCTTTATCATTCACATACCACAACCAGAAATGACACAAACATATTCACACCTTGCTTTCGTCTACTTCAGTGGTGCGCAGTCACCAATTCAATTCAAGTTCTCGCAGGACACGCCGTTCGTCGAGCTCATTACCATACTGCATTCTCTCTTGCAATATCTAGAGAATTGAAAGGTGGTCAAGTTTGAGTATCGTTTACCTTCGATTGACACTGAAGGAAACGTAAAGTTCACCCCATTTGAGCTCAAGAACGACGACGATTTAGAGGTTATGTGAGATACCTTTCAACAATACTTTTCTAATGGTCCGATTGAGATGAATCTGAAGCTTCAAAGATCGACAAAAGATGTTATTAAGATGTTGCGACATCCTCAATTGTCCTTTATAACAATATGTAACTTTAATTTTCTGCATAACTATTTATGTAACTTCTTTGAGTTATGTTGAATGAATGCCATAAATTATGTTGAATAATGTTCTGTCAAGAGATAAATTCGGATATGCATATCCGAAATTGTCTAATAATTGACTTCAGATATGTATATCCAAAATAAATTTAATAAATCATATTGGTGATTCGTTCGGATATACACTTCTAAATTCGAAAAATATTTTAAATTTTTTACCAAAAATCTAAAAGAAATGTATTAAGTGTGGAAATAAATTCTTAACCTATAATATGGGTGGGTCCATAGTTGAGAAATTCAGTCCGATCTAAATCATATGTCTAATGGGCTGGTCAAAGTTTACCTCTCTAACTAATTCGATGGATGGCTGGAGGTAAGTGAATAAAAGTGCACTTGAAGACAAAAGTATGGAACATAAAAACAAGGAGAAGAAAAAGTATAGAAGAGGGGAGAGTTTGATAAGGACAACAAATTAAAGACAATGTTATAGAAGTAAGTAGACTTTGAAAAAAAAACACCTGAAGACCATCCCACAAATTACCTATCTAAGTCCATTTAATTATTTCATCAAACTTTTCTACTAATATTATATTTTAAGAAAGAACATTATTTTATTATTAAATAAACACAACTTTTTTTTAATGACAAATAAAATATATTATTAAAAGAAAAAAAATACGATACAACAAAAGATCACAAAATACTACAAACAAACATAACAAAAATAAAGAATTTAAAAAACTGAGGACAATCACGAATAAGACTACAATTATTACAAAATAATCTCTTGTTTTCAAACTAAATCTCAAATCAATTAAATATATATAAAAGTGATACTGAAAATCCACCACAATACTCTAAATCAAACCAAATACCCAGTTCACTATAAATACATATAAATGATAAGATACTAAAATCAATTTATGAAGGTGTAAAAGTTCTCCCCAAATCTACTCAAAACTAATTATGAACAACTAATTGAAATTAAAATTTATATTAGACATAAGCATAAAATAAGATCGAGTATGTAAAAAAGCGTGTGAAAACTGAAAAGAATAGTATTAGTGACAACTGAAATTAATTAGTTCCTCTATTTTAAGTAATATTTTAGTTCTATGTAAATCTTATCATTTTATATAAGACTCATTTTTTAAAATGAAAGATTCACAGCGTTCACTCAATGAAAGATTCTTTTTATATTAAAGAGAATATAAAAAAAAAAATGTTCCTAACATTTCTCAAACTAACTTATCCATACTTATATTTCTTTTAACTAAATAAAGTCCTATATATCACTTGAAAAAAAAAATACTTTGTATTAAATTATTAATAATTTTATAATATCAAAAAATTATTATTGTAATTTTTTTATGTAACCTCATTTTTTAGTTTTTTTTATATTAATAATTAATGATAATTTTGCAAAATATTTCATAACTTTTTTATAATACAAATTTAATAATTTTTTTACATAATTAATTAATTTTTTTATGACAAAATTTAAGTACAATTCTTTAGATATGATTCTTACTATTTTATATAAAAAGTATAATAAATATATAATTTTTCTCTTACACAAATATAAATTGCTTTTATTTCAAACATAGTTGTTATATTTTCATTAGAAAATCTACATTTAAAAAATTATAGCTAAGTTTTATCCATTTTAATATATAAAAATCATAATGACATTCTTGTATAGTAAAAAAAAAGCTAAGAGTGCATATGATTACATTCAATATATATAATTCTAATAAATAATTAACTCCATTGACTAAATTACTCTTTATGAATAATAAACTTTCTATTGAGAGTATTTAAAATATGTTGTGATTAAATTAGATCTTTTTGACTAAAATATTGCCATATTCACGAGTCATATAAATTTCGCTAAAAACAAAAATGATGACACTATAAACAAATTTAGAACATCTAAATTAATTACTGCTTATAATTTCCGGTATATATATATATATATATATATATATATATATATATATATATATATATATATATATATATATATATATATATATATATATATATATATATATATATATATATATATATATATATATATATATATATATATATATATATATAAATATAAAATACCGTATCATCTTTAAATATTAATTTATGATTCTCTTTTTTTTTTATTGATGAAATTTATCTTATTTATTGTAAGGCGTGTTTGAAAATATTTGAGGAACATGCTATTTATTGTAAAGAACTTTCAAAATTTAAATATTGACATGATTTTATGAATGTTTGGTTTGATTTTTTGAAAAGTCAAAAGCAATTTTAGTGGCGTAGAATTGATTATGAATGATTTTGAGATGGTTGGTTAGATAAAAGTAGAATTGATTATGTCTCCGACAATAATTCTACTTGAAGATAGAATTTGTAGCTTCTACCACTAGAATTGATTATGGATTATTTATACACTGAAATTTATTATTTAACTCATTTTTACATAATTGTATTCAAACATAAATCAACTATACTAAACTCAATTATGATAAAATCAATTATAACAAATTCAATTTTACTAGAATCAATTATGTCCACCAATCCAAACACACTAAACTGTCTTGATATATTTAGGCGTATAAGGGTATTTGTGAATAAAGAAACGCCTATGAATTTTTGACTTGACCATAAGAGGGAAGACCGAGTCTTATGCTAACATATGCTTTGATGTATGGATGTGTAGGAAATAAACATGCATGTGTATATTTTACCATGAGACAAACAATTTCAAAGTCACTTTAAGTAAATTGGCCAAACGTGAGAAAACATGTTCTAACAATCAACATGCTTTTATACTATTTATTTTTTATACTTTTGTTTTTCTAGAACCGAAAACAATTGATCTTTTAGAGAGAGTTCAAAGAATAATACATAGCAACATTGTGTCACCTAAGACAATGAATACTACATCCGTTTCAAAATAAGTCTCATTTAAAATTTTTGCACACTGAATTAAGGAATGAAATAACAATACCATAAAACATTGCACTTTTATTTAAATTAACATTATCAATGTATTGGAAATAGTGCACAGAATAGTAATTAAAGAACACAATTAAAAAAATAATAATCATTTATATATAGAAAAATGAAAATGATGTTCATTTAAAAATATTTTTTTTTAAAACGATATTCATTTTGAAACCGATGAAAAAATTTATAAAAAAATAATTGTTGAATCCAAAAAGGAATAATGGTGCAACGTATTATCTATTTATTTATTATTTTTATTTATGTAGAATCTTCATTTTAATTAAGTAATTAATTCTTTTGAAAAAAAATCAAAATTTAATTTTAAAAAAAAAAGAATAACGTAATGTCGTTTATACGAATCTGCATTCTTTATAATTGAATTTAGAAAATAACTGAACCGTATTAATAGAATTTTCAGAAAAAAAGATGTATAGCATCTAAAGCAAATTAAATATTCTCGAAAATATCATAAGAATTTACTGAAAACAGATTTACATTAAAAATACATTTAATGTAATAATAAAAAAGTTGATCACAGCACAGACACAAATATTGAAGCAAAATAAAATAGAGAGACAGTTGGTTTTGGGGTCCCTCATTTTGTGTCCTTATCTCCAACCTTTTTGTCTTTGTTCCTTTCTGGTCCGGTTTCTACTTGTTTCATTCTCCACTTTTATACCTTTAACTCTCCCCCACTTGCTTCACTCATGTCTTCTTCTTCATCTTCTTCCTCATCCTCCTCTTCTTCCTCCTCCTCATCATCACAACCAAATGTTACTGCTCAAATCCAACCTTCTGCTCCTCCTGCCGATAACATTGACGCCCCTTCTTCCTCTCGTCAACGCTCCATGAATAATGAGGTTTGGCTTGAACCTGTTGTTGAAGCATTAGCCACTCAACTTGCCATTGATGCTTCTCATTTTCATGGCCGTCTTTCTGCCGCTTCTGCTCTCGCCATTATTTTTCAGGTCACATTTTCTTTACCTTGTTTCTTTCTTTCTTCATCTTTAATATTTTGTTTTCTTTTTCTTGAATCTATTAATCTAAATATTTCAAATAATGGAATCTCAAAGCATGTGTAAGTGTTAGCTTTTTCAGTTCCGAAAATGGACAAATTATTGGTCAAGTCAAACATTATGCAATGCAACCTGCAGAGATAACGCAGATTCTTTTTTTTTTTTTTGATATATATAAATATAGTATATAGAAATTATTCTATTTAATCAATTAAATATTCAAAAGTGATATATAAAGTAAGTTTGTTGACCCAACTATGTTATTTCAAAAAAATTACTAGTATAATATAAATTAAATAACTAAAATTTTTAATAAGCAAAATAAGATTAACCAAAGAATATAAAAAATACTCCAACCCTTTATGGAACAAAAGGTAAGAAAATTATAAACTTTTTGATAAGCAAAATGATATCAACGAGTAGTATAACCATTATAAAAAATGGAAGAAAAAAAAAGTGTGAATATATAAATATAAAAATAAAGATATAATTCATTAAGGAAGAAAAAATTATGGTTTTTAAGATGGTTAAAGCATCCTAGAAGAAACTGTTCCTTAAAAACGGCTACTTTTACGTGGGTCATTTTCTAAACTAAATGTGTGTCCCTTTCATGAAAAGGGTTTTTTTTTTCTTCTTGTTATTGTTCTGTCTCTAGTATATTGAAAAGGGGTTAACTTGGGTTTGAATTTTGATGTTACCCTTTCTTGGCATGGATCTTTTTTTGACTCAACTTTTTAAATATTCTAGCTATATATCTATCTTCTAGGCTAACAAATCCATGGCATACCTTTTTATCTATCTAAAAACATGTTGTTAGTAGCTTTTCTACTTTGTTTCAGAACTATTGTTTTCTTAAATTACACAAGGAGGGAACATATGAATAGTGATTCATGTCTCAAGATACTATAGTGTCCTTACAACTATATTCTTTTTTTTTTTTAAATATTAGGTCATATAAGCCTATTTGTAAGAAAAAAATATTTCATAGTATTATTTTTATTTTATTTATCATTTTTTTACGGCTATTATCATTATTTTATTTTATTTATCAGCTAAAGTTTCTTTCCGGTTGCATAATTAGTAATTATTTTTTAAATGAGATTAATTACTATATATTGTCTGTGTAAAATTCTTTATACAATGAGTCCATTATAACTATTTACAAAAATTATTTTATAAATAATTAAAATAAAAGTCAACTCAATAAATATTTAATAATCATGAAACTGATTTAAACCGAAAATATGTATAATTAAATTCTTTTTAAATAATATTATTTACATTGACTGTATAATAAAACAGTTTATCTTTCTTAATTCATTCAACTGAGTTGAGAGTGTGCCACAACTTTTCTCTAGCTACTTGGATTTTTCCCCAAGATTATATTCGTAGAAATCTGTAGCTGGGTTGGATCTGATCTGGTAGAAGAAGTCAGATTCAGTCTTCAGTGTTCAATGGATATCCTAAATAAATTCTTTATCATCTAAATTTAAATAAATTAAAAATAAAGCTAAATATTTTTACCAAAAAGAGTGTAGATCAAAATTTTTTATATCATGTCTCATTGAAAGAGAAAAGAATGCCTCAACTAAAATTTTTATAATGTAGAAAACAATTTAGAAGATCATCCTATAAAATAAATACATTAAATTTAGTACTCAAATTTATAAAAAATTTCAAATTAAACCTTTATCATTTATTTTAATTTTTTCTAACATTCTAAAATATTTAAATTTTAATAATAAAATTTATATAGATATAGAAGGCAAAATGATAATAGATTGTGCAGATATTCCTTTTTAAATCGCAAAATTAATTTTCTAAAAAATTATATTTATAGACCTAAGAAACAAAACATTTGTATTTATAAATAATAAAAAATATTAATTTTTATTGAAAATTAAAAGATCCAATGTCAGGCTAAAATAAATGAAAAAAATAAAAAGTTTGGATTACGTTCTAATATTTCAAAACTAGTGGAGTGTAATAGAGTGAGATGAATATTATTTTGATATTTTAAATGAAATGTAATAAAAGTAATAGAATTCGTATTCTGCTCCCCTCTTCATATTCTGTTCCATTCCTACATCTTTTTTAACAATCCAACTCACTATATAACATAACCTTATTTCATCCTTAGAGTCAAATGTTGAATGTTTTACTAACTTTTTAATATATGAAAATATTAAATAAAAAGTTTTTATTAAAACTTTTAGAATATAATAATAATAATTAATAATAATAATAATAATAATAATAATAATAATAATAATAATATAATAATAATAAAAATAATATACAATGGACAATTGTATATGTATAAAATCCAAAAGTCACATGGAGTCCAATTCTTGCTATGGTAAACCCATTCTTTTTGTATCTACTACTTATTCCCTCTCATTAGGTTCTTTCCCAAAAAAATTAAAAGTGTAACATTAATATGAAAAATGTTATAATTTGTCAATAAATATAAAAAAAACTCATTTAGAAAATTTGTTAATAATTAAATATAAGACCATTTGCAATTTACTACTCAGATCCTTTATAATTATTTTAAATATATATATTAGGTCATATAAGCTATATATAACATTCTAATCATTTTAAATTTATAAGGTATATATATATATATATATATATATATATATATATATATATATATATATATATATATATATATATATATATATATATATATATATATATATATATATATATATATATATATATATATATATATATATATATATATATATATATATATATACCTTATAAATTGTAAATTGTAACTAGAAATATTAATAATTTAGTAATAAAAACACACATTATTCACCCAACTAATTTTGAAATTTGCCTAAGATCGTTCAAGTGTTTGTAAAAAAAAAGACATTAAAAGATGTTTGTTTGTGGAACATGTAGCTAGCAACATGACTGGATATTTGTCTTTTGGCTTGTTGGAAGTGTTTTGTTGAAGTAGATAGATTCGATGGTTGAAACAACACAGAGCTTTGACCATTACCTTTATTGGAAATGAAAGTGAAATATTTCTGGGGAACCACACCACCTAGCTTACCTTTCATTTCATAATATGTATAATACTATATAGTTTTAATATTTCATTTCATTTTCATACACACGCCTACATCAACAGTAACTAAGATTTATTTTTGACCTATGCTTTGGACCACATCATATCATATTACTATTATTTTCTAGGGCTATATGATAGCTCATGCATTGAACAATCTCATCCAAACTCCTCCTTTTGATCATATAACATTACAGAATATCTTTTCCATATCTTATGATTCCAAATATATCTTTATATATTCACATGTTGAACCTTCAATTGTATCTGTCACGATCTCACTTTTTCCTTCTTAATTGGAACATACACAACAGAATCTAGGATATTCTTCATCACTCAATCATCTCATTTTAGATATACAGATACTAATACTCACTATTTCTATATAATATATTATTTGGTATCTAAATCATATAATCAATCAAATAAATCAAATTAATAATCTTGAGTAAATAAATAAATGAACAAAATTTGGTTGACATAGTTTTTTATGTTTTTTATATGACTGGAAAAATGCATGCAGGTTTGTTCAACATGGAGAGAAGTGTCGCGCTCGGATCTACTGTGGCAGAGGCTCACGAGACGCATCTGGCGCAGAACCTATAGATTGAGAGACACGTGGCAACTAGAGTACATCTATTGGCATCGAACGGCTAGGAACTTCACAACAGGTAGACACGCTTTAGTTGTCCCACAATACGATCCAGGAGATCCTCATCAAACCCTCATCTGCCGTTGTCTCACTCTCTCCGACACTCACCTTGCCTGCGGCTTTGTCGATGGCACGGTGCGCCTATTCGATCTCCTCACCGGCGTGCACATTACAACCTTCTGGTCGAATCATGGTCATCTATTTGGTCCGTTCTCACAATCCGTTTCGGGAATTGTAATTGCGAATTCCAACCTCGCAACTATTGTGTTTGCGAGATTAGATGGAGATGTGTACGTCGCGATTATCAATGAATCCGAGATAATATCCGGGTCCATTGCAGCGCGACGTGCAATCTCTGGAGATGTTGTTAACAACGGAGTATTAGTGGAATTCGCGGGCTGTAGTCGTTGGTGGATTGGTTTATTCGCCGGTCACGCGGGCGGGGCTTTTCAAATATGGGACGCGCTAACAGAACAGCGCGTGTTTGTTGGCGGTTCATTAACCGATCCAGAAACGGTTCAAGGATGGCATATGTTAACCGAGTTAGTCGAACCGGTGGGTCGAGTTAGGGTTACAGAAAGAGAGTTCGTTGTGGCTTGTACAAGTTCGAGATTGGTTTGTTTCAACTTAAGAAACCCAGAGGTTTTATTACGTGACGTGGGCTCCACCACAGGTTTTGTTGTTGGTTCGTTGGATGTTTGTCAAGAGGTTTTTGTTGTAGTGGAAAGAAACGGTGTTGGAACGGTTAGGCGCGTGGGTAGTTTTGAGCGCGTGAGTAGGCTTAGATTAAGAGGTTCTTGGTTGAGGGGTTTGTTGGGCGGCATGAATTTGGGGTATGTTATAACGTATTCTAGTGGGTCTGGTTTGTTGAGAGTTTGGGATATTCACGAGCCTGCGGCGCGGTTGTGTATCACGCTCGTTGTTAGAGATGATGGAGAAGCACAAGTTCATGGGAATAGTATGGTTGCAAATCAAACTCATGTGGCTATCTCATCTAATGACTCTTCCATACATTTACTGGATTTTAGTGTACAGTAATTAACATTTGGATGATTTATTTATCTCATTGTTATATTATTATTAGGAGAGGAGGATTATTTTATCCTCACATTCATTATTATAACTTAAAATTTCCTTTTTTATATTTAATATCTCAAAAATCACATCTATTGTTATTATCATTTTATCTTGTTAATCCTAGAAGTTTATCATTTTCTATTATTTTTAGTGTATTACTATCTGCTAGCGCTTATATATTACAGTCGATATAGTCAGTCTTATAAAGAAGCAAAATTTCGTAAACCCTTAAATTTTTCAGACTTTAGAAATTTCAAATTCTTTAAGATATGGTGACCCTGGTAGTAATCTATAATTTCTTTTGCAGTAAAAAATAATCTTCAGAAATATATCCTTGACCTGCTATAATATTTTTTATAATGATCAAATATTATCATGATCTTTTGAAAATATATATTTTTTTAGAGATTAGTAAAATATTTAACAGTTGCAATTTATTGACAAAACATAACTGTTTTACATTATTAATGTATATCAATTAAATTTACTTTTTTATTAACAAATTAATTCTGAAATCTTTTAAATAATTACGAGTCATGTTTATTGATCTGACCTGATCAGGAGGTTTGGACCGTCACGGCTGCTCCGAGCTGAAGGCTTTTTGAACGAGGAGGGGGGGGGTACCTGCAAGGCACTCCGATGCTTAAGTCAGCGAGAGTACTAGCAGATAATAGAGTTGAGGTTAGAATTGAAGATTACCTGACCCTCTGGAAGCAGAGGGTATTTATAGCCCCCAGCGCTGGGCCAAGGTTCCTTCACTGGGCCGGGCGGATTTGGCCCAATGGAGGAACTGCCAGGTCCTACGCGGGTAGTGGGGATCAGCACGTGGTCCCCTCCCTGGATGTGGTGCGTGAAGTGCGGGCGGACAGAGACGCGGTCTTTACGGAGTATCGTTGGGGCAATGGTGACTGAGTCTGCCCTAGCAAGGTAGCTTGAATCCATGTCGAGCAGTGCAGCGTGATGTCGAGCTCGGCGCCAAGACCCCGAGCTGGACAGCGAATGTCGAGCTGGAAACCAGGGCATAGAGCTGGACGGCAGTCTGTCCCACGTGACTTCGTCGCGTGGGCTGGCACACTGAGATGTCGAGGTGGACATCAGGGTGTCGGGCATAGACGTTGTGGTCCTTAGTGAGTCCCATTGGACTGGGCCTTAGTAATGCTTTTGGGCCTGTCGGGCCCAGTCCAGAACAGGAGCCCCCCAAGTCGTGGTTCCTTTGCGAGGAGCCATGACTTGAAACCAAGTTGTTCAGTCGCTGAGGTCTCGTGCCCAAAATGGAGGCGCGGCCCCTCGAGGAGCCTCCTCGTGTCGTGCTCGGGAACGTCCTCGGTGGTGGATGCGTGGAGGATCCGTACCGAGCACGTTGGTCGGGCACGCGAGGCATCTTTTGGGAATTGTGCCGCCACCCTAGGGGGGTAGGGCCATCATTGCGTTGGGTGCAGTGCGTCGAGGAGACGGAGTCCGTGGCTAAACGAGGTGACGTTTGGTATTCCATGTCATCACTATAAATAGGGTCCTTGGGCCCCATAATACGCTTTCCGTTCTTCGTGCTCTCTTCGTTGCAACTCTCAACACTCTCTCCAACCGTGACTTCCCGTCCCAGATTCTTCTTTTCCTAGCCGAATCCCATCTTTGATCCAAGTAAGTGATCCACTCTCTTTATTTTCTTGTTTTAGAATGCATGATTCTAGGAAGTTGTGGATGTTTTAGGACCGTTAATGTGGGATTAGCCCGGTAAACTCGTGTTTTGCCCGACAGATTTACGTCTAGGACCGGCAAACGCATACTTGTGGCCGACGCGTTCATAGTTTTAGGTGAAAAACTTCAGAGCTGCCCGGGGTATTCATGATCCTGGGCGCCTGACTCATGCCGGTGCCCGGTATGTTTATGGTCGTGGCCGTGGGCTTCATAATGCGGCTCGCCATGTTCATACCCCGGACCGACATGCTTGAAGAGTGGCCGTGTAGTTGGTTTGTGGAGGAACACTGGATTCAGGAGAGTCGGGGAGGCATCCACTTGTGAAAATGGACTCGTGGTATTGTATGGACGACATGATTATGTCGAGCGTAGGGCTTCATGCTCAATCTGATTGGTTTCCCGTGCTCTGCAGGTAACCATGGCGGATGAGCCGAGCTCCTCAGGTCGTCATGACAGCGAAGAACAAAGTGCCGACGAGTCGGCCAACCTTATCGACACTGTGACCGACCCGTCGCTGGAATGGGTGGGCGCCGAGCCTCGGGGGACGGCGTCGGTATATAGTCGGGATGACCGACACCCGTTCATCGCCATTGAAGGGGGGCAGGACCAGCCCGACTTCCAACCGAATTTCGAGGTCATGCTGCCTGCGACCACTGCCAGAATCTGCTCGATGTACCCGGATTACAGTTTTGCGATGTACGAGATCGCCTTTAAGGACTTGGGTTTGCGGCTGCCCTTCACAGACTTTGAGACCGGGGTTTTTACGCATTTGGAGCTGGCCCCGTCCCAGCTACACCCTAACTCTCTCGCCTTCATCCGGGCGTTTGAGCTGACGTGCCGGTACTTAAGGATAGGGGCGACCATCCCTCTCTTCTTTAGGGTCTTCCACCTACAGCGCCAGTCCCGAGGAGGGAAGCACAGCTGGGTGTCCTTGAAGCAGTCGAGGAGACTGTTTAGGATGTACATGGATTCTGTGAGGGGGTTCAAGGATAAGTGGTATGTGGTACACCCTATCACTGATTCTGCTGTGGATTCCCTCTACGAGGAGGAAGGGCTGGTCAGCGATGACGACGGAGAAGCATTGTTGAACGATGACGGGAGCCCCGTGCTAGGACGTCGGGCTAAGTTCCCGGTGTACTGGATGTCTCGACACTTCCAGCATGGAACCGGCTACTTCCACACTGCAGTCGGGGACATGTGCACGGAGGATCAGCGGGCGTACACGACCCTATGCAACTTCGTCGACAGTTTTCATCCCGCCCAGTGGGTTACACGGGAGGGGAATGACATCCTCGACAAGGATGGTTACCCGACCTTCGAGGCTCGCCCGATTGACACCAAGGCGTTGGTGGAATGTTCGACCTATAGGGAGGCAGCCCGCCTGTTAGGTTGTTTGTTTGCAATTCTTTACTCGTCATTTATTTACGCGTTTTGCTCGATACTGACTTTTGTTTTACTTCGTGCAGGTACGATGGCCAGCCGACACGAGAGGCTCCTAAAATTATCAACCGGCCAGAGGCGAAATAAGAAGGTCGTGCCGGCCCCTCAGATGACGAGGATGGGTCCACCGACAAACCTGAACGCTTCTCAGCCTGTGAGAGTAGATTCGACGTCGAGCTCAGGGGCGGCGTCTGATCCAGATGTCGAGGTCATTGATGCCGATGCCGTTCTGACACAAAGGAAGAGGACCCGCGTGGAAGGCGGTCCAACTGTCGGGGAAGATACCGGTCCCGTTCAATCCTTTGCCTTTCCCCCCTGCATCGAGGAGGAGGGTTTTTTCGAGCGGTTTCCCCCGACCGTGGTCGCGCATGAAGCTGAGGCCATAAAAAGGATGACCAAAGAGGAGAGGCGGTCGCGGCTGGTCGCCAGCGTGGACGGGCTGGTTAAAATGGCTGAAATGGCTCTGGTATTGTCTGAAGACGCAGGGGACGCTGCTCGTGTTGAAGAGCTCGAGCGGGAGAAGGCAGCCTTGACGGCGAGCTCAAGGAAGTTGAAGGTCGCTCTGGAACGCTCCGAGGGGATGTTCCAAGAGCAGACCGTGATACTTGACGCCGAGAGGGAGGCGCTGACCTTGGAGAAAGAGAAGTCGGGGCGGTTGACCGAGGAAGGGGAGTTGCTCCGGGCCGATAGGGATCGTTTGGCTGCTGAAGTCGAACGCCTGGGCAAGCAGGTCGAGGAACTGAATGCTGCTCAACAACCCGCTGAAGATGAGCCCGAGGACCTAATGGCTTTGAAGAGTCGGGCTGAGTTTATTGCTCATATTCGGAACCTCGAGGAGGACGCAGTCGGTGCCCTGGAAGACGGGTTCAATTCTGCCGTCGACCAGCTCTCGTTGCTAAATCCCGGCTTGGTCACCGAGGGTATCGGGCACACTCATCGGGTTGTCGGTGGCACGATCATTCCCCCGCCCGACTCTCCCTGCGTCGACAGTGGTGATAATACGGAAGCTTGATTTGTATTTTTTGGTTGGTGGGCCTGCGTGCCTGATATTTGAATTTGTATTCTTTGGGCCTGCGTGCCCGTTTATTCCATGTATGAACATCGCCGGCCTTCTTGGTCGGTTTAATATTACTTTGTTGCCTACGGGCGTTTATACCTTGTTTATTTTGGATTTTCTGCCCTTGTATGAACTCATATGCTTGTATGAATTTAGCTCGTCAATATGCTTGTATGAATTTAGCTCGTCCAGGGCCCGTGGAGTGCCCGTAGGCGGCTTCGATTTGGCGAGCATCGATGCTCGACTCTGTTTGCGTGCAACCTCGGCCCAACTTCGGTTGGCCGGGGTTGCTTGAGTTTTTCGCTCGAGGGGAGAGATTTTGTTTTGACCCTTGTAGATGTCCCGTTATTCTTGATGGAATGTCGGGTATTTCGGAGCGAGGTCGCTCAGTCGGGCGTGGAGCCCGTAGGGACGATTCGCCCTTGGCGTGAACTGCCCATCGCGAGCTGGGTGTTCTGCCTTATGGGTACGACGACGGTGGTGCTCGGTATAGCTGTCCACGTCGGGCACTATAGATCGTCAACGTCTACCGCGCGATGCCGTGCCATTTGGTCGTGCGTCGGCCTGTACCTTGGCCTTAAACGAAGTTGGACTTTTTCCTCGTTGCCCGAGCATGGTTGCTTATGGTCGAGGGTCCTAAGTGTTGACAGTTTTTAACTGTAGTACTGCTTCAACTTAGCAGCATTCCAGGGTCTTGGTAATGGCTCTCCGTCTAACTGCTCGAGGTAGTACGCCCCGGTACCCGTGGTGCCGTGGACGCGGTAAGGTC